AACCAGCGCCTTATAAATGCTTATATAGCAATCAGATGTACCAATCGGGATTTCATCGAAATACATTTGGGTGGGCAGTACAGTATTTCAGGGCTAAGTTGTCGCACCATAAGTAGAGAGGTGAAATTTGACCACATTATGAATTGATGCTCTTCCGCATCACACGAGGTTCGGTTTCATCATACAACTCCTGACTCAAACAATGAGCGGTAGTGAGAATTTCTAAAAGAATGAAACAGTGTTTCTTAGTTTGCCAGTGCATTCTTGTCACGCTCCACACACGAGTTCAAGTAAAAAAAATCAGGAGAAGTTGCTTATCGGATGAGATGTAGTGGATAAACCGGGTAAAGTTCCGTTTTTGTCTAATTAATACGATGTGAACTGGAAATAAGAGCTCCTACGTCAGTAGCGGAGTATCCAACTGATTTATGGATGTTGGTTTGCTCGCAGTTGCAGAACCCGACAACCCAGGCTTCCTATTACTCATTAGTCATTGTTCTTCACTTCAGCATCAAAACGAATTAGGTGCGGTTTATGTTCCGGATAAAAAAAACTCCCAAGTTCCCCATTCGAAGTGAAGACATTTGCTTAATCCGTATTACTTTGGTTAATTACTATGTTGTTAAAATGAAACAAAGCGTGTGTATCCCATCAATTAGTGTCGTCCCTCATGTTCAAACGGTGAGTTCACAACCACATAACTCAGCAAAACTGAAGCGAGATAGAAATTTTTGCAACTCTCCCTCTCAACCGTCAAACAAGCTAACGAGAAATCTGAAGCGACATTCAAAACCGTTTCAGCTCGCTAAATCTAAAAGAGGTGGGTGGCTGGTTCTTCATCGGCCTGAAGACGACAACAGTTTGGCCTATGTATCAAAAGTGAAATTTTATCCTGCTTGAATCCAACAATTGTCTACCAAACACCCATGAAAGATCAACTGCAGAGTCCTGATCTGTAACCCTCGTGAAGCATTTGGGCCAGCAGAAAACGGTCGAATGACGAAATAGAACGGATGAAGCGAAAAAGGGCAGCTGAACTCCAAATGAGGAATGATGCCAATATTCACACAAATTCAAATGGGAAAACAAATATCCCTTAATTCTGAACAACTCTCAACTAGCCAAGACGATTCGAAATTTAGAAATGACCGGACGACTTGGAAAAAAAGGGTCATTTGGAACAATAACCAACGCAAAAAAAGAAAGTCTAGGCAGACAGATAAAATAGGAACCACGACGAACGTTCTATGTTCAAGCTGCACCGGAAAATGTCAGGCACTAAAAGAGCAAAGTAACGATGGAAACACAATGTCAACAAAGCATCTGATCAGCCTCCACTTGTCTACCGTCTAAAAATACAGACAATGGAACGAAAATGCATGACTAGGTGGCAGTCAGAGGATAATATGACAAAGACCGATGGGTGTGATCTAGTGAGACGTAGAACGAGAGGAAGTAATGGAAAGGACCGGTGATTGTGCCCACTAACCCACCGCTACGCACAACTATGCACTGATGATGTCACCTCGATTGGTGATGAAACGTTTGCAACCAAATTGCCCAGCTCAGCGAACAAGCCAACGACCATCTACGCTACCTGAGCTACCGACATTCTCCTCTATAGTAGTGAAACGTCTTTGTGAACAACGCTCAACATGTTATAACATATCGTTCTGTTTCTCCAACTGTACCAGTATTCTCTATGAAATTGGCAGCTAGGAACATAGTTCAATATGCTACAGATGAGGGACCAACGGAATACAGCATGTGCACTGCTGGTGGATTTGAACAAGATTGAAACAGCCGTAAATCGGTTACACGCAGTGGCTGCTCCCACTTCAAACAAAATCCCAACGAAAAATCTAATCAGCATGAGGCGGCCTGGGGAAATTCACCTAATTTAACCAAATGTGCGTGTGTACGACAGTGCAATCGAACAAGGCTTCCCATGTTTCAAGGAAACTTTGGTAAACATTCGATAGATTTATTGCTGGACGATGCTTCGTTTCTTTTTCGGTACAAACGCTACGTCAGGCCAAGTAGTTAGGTTACCAGGTTGGTCAAGTTTTAAGACAGAAGGGGAACTAATTGGTAAGACTCCTTCCTACCAACAGGCTAAATCAATGTTAGATGTCGACCGCTAGAGAGAATGTTGAGACGGAGAGGCTGCACGGTTGAAAGCTACACAACCCGTGCCGAGTCTACGGTCTAGTTTCTCCGGTTCAACCCATGTAAAAACCTCTCTTGTGCGTCTTTTACAGTCTAGTTCTGAAATATAGCATCACACCAATAAATTAGGAAGCGCCGTCAACAACAATGACAGGTACTGACATAATATCCTCTCGTTCCATTTGAAGTGAAAACAAACACAGGGTTCAACATTGAAACTTTGAAACATGCTCAGCAATCAAAAAGACCTAAGAAATTAGGATGTGACTTCACAGCGTGTTACCTTCTTCTGATCACAGCTTCGATGTTAGCGTGTTCGCACCGGCATTGCAAGTTTATCTGGATGTCATTGCTTTACTAATTACATAACGATTCAAACCAAGAAACTGACGCCCTATACGTCCACCTATAAAAAGGTCCTGAACAAAAGACTCGCCGAAAGGAGAACTCCCGAACGGGGAAAACCTATTTATTCACGACAACAAGGAAACTCATAAGACCAGTCATTCAGAAGATGATCAGTTAGTTATGAAATGCCCATATGGACTGGACGAACTCCGTCAGTAAAGACACCACGGTGATTGACACACTGATACCAAACGGAAGCTTGTCTTTGTGTTAGGAATTATATTCTGCACGGGTAGGACTGAGAGCCCGGAACTCATGACTCAACTTCCTTAGACCGTAATTTTTTAATAATAAGAAATGTGCCCGATTCATATTTGAAACGTTACGGAACGAGCTGAGCTACAACCTCATTCAGACAGTCAGATCGAAACCCGCTGCTGGAAGCGGCGGTGTGATAATGCTAATAATTGTTCGGCTGTAACACCCTTTCGGTGCCTATCTGTCATGCAACCCGAAGGAAACACGAGGGCTGGGATACTGTCAGGTTGCCTAAGCCTAGACAGGGGAATTCGGGATGCAGAGGTCTGGTTCGAACCACGAACCTTGAAGTCAGTAAATTCGCGCCCTAACCGCTGAGCAATCTCGCCCCTGACTACACAAAAAACTTGTAGGTGCGAACAATCGTTCTGACTTAGCTCAGGCTTTGGTAAGCATAATCACATCCCGTAGCGAAAATGTGATTACTTATGTATATTATAATGTACCACCCTCCTCATATGTGATTGAATGAGGGGAGGTATTTTGGTAACCGAAGTCAGCCGTGAATTAGCCTCAGTGAGACTGTTCAGCAGGCATCAGGCCGGGCTTAGCTTTGAATGGAAAATTCCAAACGTTCAGAAACCGACCGACTGACTGAACGACATGTTTTCCCGGAACTAAGGCTTCGGTCAGCACCAAGGTAGGCGAACACTGGGAAATAAAGTGATCATTATTGTGCGGTGAAAATCCGCACTCAAAAGATCTACATTGATATCCATACAGTGGAATGAACCTGTGTGTTTTGGTACGGCATAAGACTGGATCTAACTACCCGTTGTGTGAACCAGACACTTGAGCACATGCACTGGAACAGATGAGCCAAACCCTGCTGCTTAAGAGGAACAAAAACAAACGTTCCTCGACTGAGACATTCTGTCACAAATTATCTTGTAAATTTTGTTCTATATTCAAAACTCATCTGCATTATCACTCTTGATTACCGTGCTAATTAGAATCTTGGGCTTTCCACCTTACAGCAGACAGCAACTGGGACCTGACAACGCTACTGGTTTGGCATGAGTAGCCAGATTGTAAAAACATGAAACAACGTCCGTCGAATCGAACTAATGCCATCAAAACAAGTTAGCTTGTGCAAGGAAAAAAGTCCACAGTATATCTTGACGGATCCACAAGCTGTCCAAGTGCTGAGCACTCCTGACTGCCGAGAAACATTGGAGTTGGGAAACTATACATGATTACAAAAGGCCGGCGTTTCCCGCTTTGTCAAGTAGCAAGTTTCTTATGAAGCTTGTAACCAGACTAACACGTACTGTCGAGAACGCGTCACTGCGCAGTTTATCCCATCGAAGTATCCGAAGCACATTAGGACTCATTAATACTCTCCATTCACTGGATCCTGATACTACAAGTGTGAGGTTCAATCTTTTACGACCGGAATCTTCAATAGCGACCATTATTCCAGCCGTTACGCACGAACCAGCTTCAGAGAGGCTGCTCACTCTGGCATTGCTTGCTCAGTTTCCGATGGGAATCATTTGGTTTACGGACATACCGTGTGAACGGAAAACATACGGTTATTTGTAATCTAGTGAATTTTCCACACAATAACTATAAATGATGGAGAAGAATGCAATGATAATGGAACAACACACAAAAAACGGTTGACCAAATAATTATTTCGCTCAGTCTAGCGTGACACTGGTAGGAGGACCCGATAGGGTTCTAAAGAGGTTGTGCGACTAGAGGGGAAAAGGCATTGTGTTCCAGTAAGTTTGAAATTGGGAAGTAGTGAATGTTAGTGAATGTTTGCATTACTGGGATAATCCATTGAAAATTCCTTATCTCTTGGGCATAATCTTTGGAGACCAGTTATAGAGTAAACGTTGTTAAGTCCTTTGTGCTTCGATGACATGCAAGCTAAAAGTTTAAATACCACTTTCTTTCAGCTACTTAGCAGAAAACCCTTGTGACAACGACGACCTGCACACAGCATGACGATTAAAGTGGTGGACATATCACATCAGAGGAGCAGTAATCATGATACTTGCGAGAACCTTAAACAAATTCACTGTACACTGCAACTCTTCCAACGGTGCTTTGCTCTTTCTCTACGCGAGTATACAGATTTATTATTGTGAATATCAAACGACTGAAAACCTCATAAATACTGACCACTAAAACTGACTTTCTTTATTCCTCTTTAGATGCATCCAATACTTGCTGAACGGATCACAACCTACACAAATTGAATACAGTCAGACCAGCTACTCTTCACATCGCATCCCAATTGTGCGAGACCTCATGATAAGCCACTGCACGTTGTTCTCAATCATTGGAGTTATATTCAATATGGGTCTCATGTGTGCTTTGCTGAAGTACCACAGACAAACCTTGAAAGACAACATCACTAACTTGTTCGTCTTCTGTTTGTCTGTATCGGATATATTTTTGTGCTCGGTTAGTATGCCTGTACAAATGTTCTACGAGATCAACGAACACCAGTTGGCCAGCAGCGGTCTATGTCGAGTCCTTTTTGCTGGCTTCGGTCTGCCACTCAGCATTTCCTGCCTCACTATCTTATTGATCGCGTTCGATCGCTATCGTATGATTGTTCATCCAATGAAAATACAAATTTCCAACCATATTGCAATGAGCCTGATTGGCTGTGTGATATTATTTGGTGGTTTAATTTCCATTCCAGTGGCTTTACACGTGGATATTGATATACACAGTGGATTCGCCTATTGCGTAGAAAAGTGGCCAAGTGCACGTCTACGTCTAGCCTATTCCGTGTTTGTTTTTATCGCGTGTTTCGCTCTCCCACTGTCTGCTTCTGGAGGATTCTATCTGGCGATCTACTGCCGACTAGCGAAACAGTCTACACAACTGGGGTTCCGTAAAGAAACCGAGCGACGAAAACGACGCACCACCAGCCTGTTGGTCTTGACGGTTGTGTGTTTCGCACTATGTTGGACGCCATGGTGTCTGTACTCGCTGCTGTTAGAAATCGAATCAATGTTGAGGAGCCATATACAGGAGACAAGAGCAGGAGATCCACTATCAATCAGTGGCGAACTTTGTCAGGCCTTGCTCTTAATGTCAGATCAGGCACTACAACAAACACTGACTCATAGTGCGAAACCTCGAAGTGATGAGGATGAACAATTGTCAGGCATGGCTCGTGGGATTATCATACCGGCGAGGCACACTAAACTTATCGATCTTTTGTGTAAAATGATTGCTATGGGCTCGACCTGCGTAAATCCGTTCATTTATGGATGCCTAAATGAGCCCATTCAGCTGGCAATGCGAAGGCAATACGGACGCCTGACAGCGTGTTTGAGAAGAGGATCGACTCGAGGCACACTTAGTAGTACGACAGCGAGCAAAGGGGGCAGGAAAGCACAAGCAGTCGACGGTATGGAAATGCCAAGTATTGGCGTGACTACAGTACAACTGATCAATTGCACAGGTGATGGAAAGTCTGAAAACTGTGCTCTTAACGCAGACAACGGGGGCTCCCCAGACAACTTCGCAGTAGTCCACGCGGTCAAAATATCCCCGTCGCCAGATACATCACAAGAACCCAATTACACCTGTCCAACGTGATGAGCTGTGAAAATTGGTACCACTAAGAAATCGACAAGGAATTCAGAACAGCGTGAGAAGCGGTAAGAAAGACTAGATTTACCCAGAACTTTCCTACCAAATTCGTGGTATTGTATGGTCTTGAGGCAAGTGCTTGTAATCCATTGTTTATTTTCTAACCGTTCCCCATCAACACCGCAAATTCGTTTGTGAGGAGTTCAAGAAACCGTGTACACATTCTTTCTTCTAGAATTCTACTGTGGTAGTCTCTTACCGAAAACTCGATCAGCAAAGCATCGGATTCAGTTATAATGGCCACAATCAGACAGAGATAAGAAATACGGAGGCGTTATGAAGTGGCCACGCAAGCGCGTAAAACTGTGTTGGAACTCCCTATGTATGCTCAGACGTGCAACCAAATAGTTCAATCGATACGTTGAGAAATCAAATAATGAAGATTTCATCAAAAGAAGACAATCTATGCTGAAAAGCCGAGAAGCACAGCTGTTTCATCCTTATCGGGAATCATCAGCAGCGCGCACCGCACGAAACTCCAGAGAGTATAGAACGCATGACCTCTCGGGTAGCACTTTGAATAACTAGCCGAGCAGCTGGCCACCAGTGTGATTAAGGCGTATTTGGACAGGATACGGAGCTGCTCATTCTTCAATCACAGTGCTTTTTGGTTTTTCAGCATAGACTGGCTTCACTCACACGACAAAATCTCAATTAAAGTTCGCAAGTGTCCTCGCGCTCCAAAAGTCACGAATAATTCCGGTTAATACTTGACACAGATGTGTATTCTTGGGAAACTTTGTCAGACACCTAAGGCTAGTTTTTCAACGCAAGAGCAAAACGCCTAGAAAATTCTGAGGTACGCGTTCTAGGCGATTTGTCTTAGTTCCCAGTTTGGACGCAATTCCAGTCTAAACTAGACTATCGCGTATTTCCATACCGAACAGTGATCGATTTCGAATCACGTCAGGTTTAGGTATCGACAGGAATGATGAATGTGGGACTAAAATGATGGATGGTCGTCGATTCAGACCGAAAATATACGATGATGCATCAGCGCTTCAGGTGAGAAAGTTGCATGGATAAAATAAGGTTCCATATAAAAAGCACATTGCCTAGAACGGTTTTTATCTGTACTGCAGATAGCGGTACGGAGGCGAGACTTCGTTGAACAGACGGAAAGTGGAATGGGGATGAAATAGGACCTCTAATAAAGGAAACCGTGACCTGATGAGGATCAAATAAGTAGCTTAGCCGACAGTCGAGTTACATTTAACAGTGAGGTACACATCATGTGCAACGGTTTAAGAACCACTCATGAGACGTATCTTGATTCAGTTCCATTGCATTGCCCAGTGAAAAAAATAGAAAGATCTTCTACGTCAAACTGAACACTTCAAAAAGAAGGGAGGTTGTTGCAAAATGCAATGGCAGAACGTGCCACGAATGTCAGAGTACTGTGAAAAATTTGGAGCAGTGTGCAAGTGCTGTAAACAAAGCACTACGGTCATTTCCCCGAGTTTACCATAAACACCAGTATGTTTCGGCCATGTCTATAATCAACGCCGTTACTTGATGAAGCTGACATCAGAGACTATAAGCGATAACAGACAGAGAACAGCTCAAAAAGGACACACTTCTACTCGTCGTTTCAAGTAGTTTTTCAACGAGATACAATTGTAACAAACAGTTCCAGGTAGAAGTTCTCTGCTCTGTTAATACCAGTAGAAACCTACACACTCAAAGAAAACCCTGAAAGTGCCTTCTCGCCTGAGGGACGACAGTTGCCAGTCACCACTCAGTTGCATCCGCGTGCTTTGAACAGCTGTGGCATGATTCTGAAGGAACATTTTGTCTGGTCAGGACATTCAGCCGCTAGAATTCCGTGACAAAGCGCAACGTGGTTAACCCATGTGATGGTCCTTATCCCCTCCATTCAGGTCACTACACACGAGTGTTTTGGGTACCACCTAGCAACCGGCAGACAAGAACCACAATGCATGATAAGCTGCCGTTAAAAAGGCCTTCTAACACAACAAAAGCAATGAACATCAATCGGAACACAATAAATATGGTGCTATCATGGATCGTTCCAACCTATCCCCGAAATCCACCGTGGAAATGTGAAATACGTTTATGAAAAAAACATTGTTGACCGAGATCGCTGCCAAGCCAAGTGTAGGATAGAAGAGTCTGTTGATGTTAGGAGGGTAGAGTAAAGTGAAGCAGTTCCTGTGATAAGAATCTTTGGCGTACACAGACTGATGTATCTGGATCAATGGTATGGGAATTTTCCATCCAAACGTTCTTTCTTGGGGGTAAATCGACCACTAGAGAACCAGCACTTCGGCTGCGGGGATTTTTTCAAGGGCTTATGGCAATGGATATCACCAAAAACGTCTTCCCGATGAGCACTTCTCTTGGGAGGTGTCCGTATGATGGGCGACACGATGATATTCGCTCTGGACATGCATACATACATACATACACTTTTGGCAACTGCATTGAGACAGCGAAAGCACAGAGCATTGAGAACATTAAGCGAATGAAATGCTCGCGCACCAGCATTGAACAGCTGGTAAAAACACCGATGAGACACAAGAAAACCAATCTTCATCTTAAGGCTCTCCTTTCCGGTAACTAGCCGGCGTTGCGGTGGGAACTCACTGAAATGTATTTCGGTGCCGTGAGTAGCCGGCCAGTTGTTCGTCAACGCCCGTCCCGACAAAAACAACCTGGTGAAAAAGCGCACAAAATGACGTAAAAGTTAAAACATAGTATGCAACAAAATGCGAATCGCTCTCAGAGAAAGTGCCAATAAGATTGGTGAAAACAGACTGCGCATCTACACTCTGACAACACCGAACACGCTAGTATAGCGATGAACGTTTGTCCGAACGTTCAACCCCATCGGGTTGCGCACACCACTACACTTTAGTATAGTATAAATATGGTGGAGGGATCCCAGAAGACTGATAATATCAAACAAACGATACAGATGGCTAGGTTCCGATATTTCTACCATCATAGTCGATAGAATACCTCTTAAACGCATGCTTCGGAGAATGGTCCTGTCAAAAAAGACCACAAGAACTATCTCTGGATCAATTCCAAAATCTTGCACATCCGTGAGTTGCATATATCATCGAAGTGTAGCGAACCAATTGGTTTTTTCCTCCAGCTGAACTTGAATAAGTATCAGTCATCATAGGGTCACATTTTCGTGTAACGTAGAAAACAGGGCGTTTTGTTGGGAACCCGAAAAACTGAATTGTCGCGTGTCGCTTCATCCAGCGCTCCAGGTTCGTTACCTTCGGCCGATGTTGCAATCGAAATATTTGATTCCAACAAATACTGTTTCACGCTTATCCAAGAGTAGATCAGCGACGAAGGCTGTCCAGTGAAGTTGGGAAGTGCTCAGTGACGCGGTGGGTGAGTGAGTCAGCTGTGTTTCTAACATAATCGGTTTAAAATAGCCCACAGGTAAACCTAGGTTGATAATACAGGGCAGTGTCGTTGTAGTGTTTTCTCTCGGTGAGTGGACAAACAAGCTTGGGAAAGATAATTCGATCCCGGAAGTATTTCCTCCGGGAAAGGTCGCGAAGAAAACGATTCTGTGCTACAAGAAGTGTTTCACCGACAAAAGAGGGATTGTTTTCCATGGGGCTTTCATCCACGCGGTGATCGAGTGCCGTCTTCGTCGTTTTGTACAGGACGCACAGCCCATCGACCTACCGGAGTGCAACTGCTATCACCAGTAAAAATCCAAAGAAAAACTCGGGTAAGTGATGTGTCTACCATGGAAAACGGTGTCGCTGCATCCAAGAAGGAATAACGCCTCAGCGTAAAAGTTTTTGACCGGCCTTGATGGAGTTCTTTCTTGGGAGGCTGGTCACCGTACTAGGTCCTACAAATTACGGCTCAGGTTGCAACAACAACTGGTGTGATACGGAGAACAGGAAAATAGCATACGCACTGGAAGCTGACAACCCAGTATTTGTAATCTACCTGTTCCATACGGTAAGAAATGAGTGGCTAGGGCTTTCAAAAACAGATGATGGTAGTGGAATTTCAAGTAAATGAAAGGCTGTATTTGTTGAGGTGCCAGAGTATGAAACTCGGGGACTGTGTCAACCTGATGATATCGTACCAACTAAATTATGAGGCAGCATATTCAGGTGAAGAATAGCATAAACGGTAGAATCAGTTGAGTATCCCATGAAAACTCAGTTGATACGCAAATGAGTGTAGTTGTCCTGGAATTCCGGTTCAAAAATATGAGTTCCCTAAAAGCCATTAAAGACTGATGAAAAATTGTTCGAAGCACGTTGTAAAAACCGATGGTGTACATTCGGATAACCCTGTGATACAAACAGAATGCAGCATAGAAACCGAATTGCATGGGGAATTGGCGAGATTTGTGACAATTAACCTCAAATACAACTCTTCGCGGTGCATGGAAAACCGTGGCTTTATTTTGCAATTGCAATGGTGCGTCACACGGGAGAAAAATACTGCCCAAATGAGATTTGGGTACGCGGACCGGAAAATAATTGTCGCTACAATTAGGTTATTAATCAGTCAATGTACGCGGTTTTTATGTAGACGGAATGATAGACACAGCAACGCAAAATGAACACACGGACGAGGTTTGCTGTTACACAGTAACAAACCTATCAATCGGAAAAAAAGAAAAGAACACACCTCTGACGTCAAAGCGTAATAACAAAACTAAGGTAAGCAATTCACTTCAACCAAAAGCTTGCTCCTGACCTTTGCTGGCGAGCAGTACGTGGAATTTTGATCACCAAGGTGGGGGTTCGAAACAGTGGACGACTGTGCCAATGACAGACTTGTCACGAGATGACCAGTACCACGAGCGGCAAACCAAGTGGCCAAACCCAAGCTTACATCCAGGACGGTCAAACGATTCGGTAGCAGAAGGCGCTTGATATAGGACGATCTGAAAGGTTGTCAAGAAATCAGGTTAAAAGGATACGTAAATGAGAAATACACTCATTTGCAAATCAATTTGGGTTTCACAAGAGATTCAACTGAATCCCTCGTTTATGATATTCTACAACTGAATGCGCTGCACACGGGCCGCCTCATGTTTCAGTTGGCACGATATTCGAGATATTACAGTTTATTTTCATGAAGGAAACTACTCACAAGGTTGCTGTCGAGGTGGGCTGTTGAAGAGTTATCAGCACGTTTTCAGTACGCCGGATGTGTGAAGCTGAGATTCTCAAAATCCAAACTCCTTTTTCTTAACATGTGATAAAATTTCAAGCTCACGGTTTTAGGCGGAATCCAACACCGATATCGCTTTAGCGCTCGCAGTTAGGCGCTGCTACGGTCGGGAAGACTAGCCCACACAAGACTGGCCAAAAGCTGAGGCCGCTTGTCGGTCCGGTATCAAGGCAAGCTCCGACCGGTCGAAAGTCAGGACCCAACAGCCAATCCTCACTCAGCATTTGCCGAATACCGGTTGCCAATGGCACATCCAGAAGGCATCAGAAATTCCAGAATGTTGTCGCGGCATACACTTTATATACAACGCGCTGTACAGGTGTTTTCGACCTGATTCTGGGTGTTAATATAAGTTGTGCACTTTTGGTGGTTGTTTTTGACGAGAACGCTAGCGTGGGAGGTTCAGACCAAGAACTAAGCTGATGAAAATACCGTTATTACAAACAGCCAAATAATTACCTCGGAATCCCACAGAGTCAGTGATTAGTCCGGTAAAAATAGATTAAGATTACCTGATAAACCAAAGGATGTTAGGACCGAACAATTCAAACATCCGTCCTAATAACATCTCGCACATGCAGAAAGCGCGTCACATCAGCCCTTGCCAACATTGAGTAGTAGTCGCTTGGTTTCCACGATCCCCTTTGTCCAGGTTAAGATCACTGAAACACTGGCCGGAGGTGTTCATTTCATGTGGAACTGCGATCAATCACAGTTATTTTTTTCGTTTTTCCTCAAAAAGTTGTGCCATATTTGCCATTAGGGTCCGATCATCTCAAGTAGCCGCACTCACATAACAGAAAATTACGCCACCACAAGATTAGCCCCCCCTCCTGTTTGGTTTTCTCATGCTGCATTTTGTTTCAAATGAACTAGGCTAAGTTAGGAGGCATTCCCAAACAACATACGTCTTCCAGTCATTAAAGGATATTATTACCCGGTTATGCCGACCGAAAGCTGTCACCTTGTTGTGGTGATCAAGTTTCAGAGCTGCAATGATTCCACGGGCTACAGCGGTTGGATTTTGGTTCCACAAGGTGCAACCATGCCAGCAAGGCCAAAGGGGAGCAGTCGGACCAAGAGTAGCGAGACCCCGTACTACGAGTAGTCGTGCTACGAGGCGGTCTGGGGGTAAAGTCGCACTATCCTCTGCGACAGGAGTTATAAGGCGACCAGTATGCCCATATTCATGGAAGCCGCGATGCTGCCTTCCCCCAAGAAAGGACGGGTTAGAAAAGATCGGCCCCCAAAACCACACACTCCGATCGCCCAAAAGTTTGTCGCGACCACTGGCGTATTATTCAGTACGGCCGAAATATTTTTTAAAACCAAAGAATCCGGTACTTCTCAAAAGGCAACGCATCCGCATCAGGAATGGGACAGTGATGCCTTACTTCCTGCGGCCTCGGGTTAAGCCAACCTTGCAGCCGAGCAGCTCAAACTGAGTCATCGGCTGCGGGCAGGATCCCGAAATAAAACCCTACTGCCCTCTACCAGACATTTTAGTCAGAAATTAGTGGTAGGGTCCCAGATCAAAACACTACATCCTCTCATTGCCTTGTGGGGTCAGACTTCTGAGTCAAAGGCGCAAGGTGGGGTACTTCAACCAAGCCACCCTCCTCTGCCTGGGCATCCGGAAACTATCAGTTGCCCGCACAGTTCTGTGTCCCTCGATGTCTCACTCCAACCCCTTCCCGCCACACAAGCAAACGTTGCTGAGTCATTTGACTGTCAATTATCGGACAGATTGGTCTTTTGCAGCCCACTGTCTATTAGCAATAAACCAATGAACATCTTGTTAAATCCACGAGAACATCTCTACGTGGGAGGTTCTAACGTCTACTCTATGTCAGATTGCGAAACCGGCAATGAGCACGCATACAAGGCCCAAGAGTGGTTATGCATCTCAGAATGCACAGGAGGAACTAAGCTCTTCCCATTGCTCTCTCTGGGATCCAGAAGCGACGGCTCATCGAATATATGGCATGGGAGTTGAACTCAGCCCCAGAGCTGGACGCGATTCTCTGGACTGGAACCCAGTGAACGTCTGGGTATCCAACTAAATCAAGCTTAACCCTACTTGACATGGCAACGGTGTCTGATTATAGTGTCGGCTTATGCCCCAACGGACTGCAGTTCTGATGCGGAGAAGAATACCCTTCACCGGCAGCCATCTGAGCTTATTCGTCCAGCAAAAAGCACCAACATTGTGATCCTTGCAGGCTAAATGAATGCTCGATTAGGTCATCCGAGCTCCTTGGAATCACATTTGGCCGGTCGATTCGGAGTCGATGCTCGTCCCACACAAAACGGACAGCGACTGCTCCATTTGTGTGCTGATAATGAACTGCTTCTGGCAAGTGGAAACTTTCAGCATAAATTTTCGCATCGTATGATCTGACAGCCACCAACTGCAAATCAACTGTGGACCTACATAATCTGACGGCCACCAACTGCAAATCAACTGTGGACCCAGTTGGATCACGTGGACATGAGCCACCGGTGGACTACCACAATTCAAGACTACAGTTCCTTGTGGGGCACAACTTGATTCCGATCACGCCATGGTGCGTGCACGCTTGACAGTTCGTTTCCCTTCAGGCCCTCACAAGTCGGCAAGAAGCATGCCAATCCACCAGCTTTGAAGAACTGCCATAGCTCAACAGTATCGACCCAAGCTAGCCCAACAACTCTACACAGTAAAACAGTACTGTGGTGGCAGTGAGCATGTGGATGAAGCGTGGCAAAATGTAAAAGGCGTTCAGTGCTGTGTATTCGACTTCTCCAATTCGACCACAAGACCACTGGATGTCGAGATCGCTATCCATGATTGATGTCAGGAAAGTTATACCAGCAGGCAACGAGTTCGACAGTGCACGCAAACCCCTCAAACGCCAAACAGTGAAGAGTCCCAAGAAAGATCAAGGGCTCTGGTGAACACCGAAAACTCGAGAGATGGAGGAGGCTCTTACTACGGGAAACAGGCGTGCCCTGTATCAGCTGATGCGATCGACTGGCCCTAGGAAAGCAACGGTCAACGAAACGAAAGGTGAAAAAGATGGCTCATTAATTCACTCGCAAAAATGCTGACCGGGAAGATGAGCCGAACACTTCGAAGAACAGTTTAGCTGGTCTATTGCAACACAACCTGTGGAGTTACAGGCGAATGGAGCGTAAACTTCAATCGCCCGTCTGAAGAACAAAGTATGAGATATCAAGACTGAAAAGTGAGAAGGCATTGGGACCAGATGGTGTGTATCCAGCTTTCTTCAAAGGCGGAGAAACCCAGCTTATGTTGTGAAGAGAAAGTGCCTACAGAATGAGGTGTGTCGACGTTATCCCTACCTTGTGTGAAAACCACCTTGGCATCAGCCTGCTAGCTGTGAAATCGAAGGTGCTCTCTGGTCTTATCCTTCGATTGTTGGCTAAACATAGGGAGAACTATGAAAGCGATTACCAGCAAACCCAGCTGCACTGGTCATTGCCGTCTCCCTGGATGGGGACCCAGGACTGGACACATCAATCTCGATAGACATTGTCAGAAACGGCCCAGTCACACCTTAACTGGCTCTCTTACATCCAAGCTATTACCTTCAATGCATGGCTCCTCTCCCAGTCTCCCCAATTAAAAGTCCACTGACAACCCTATATTTACACATCAATAATATCAGCTACCACCTCCAATGCGCACCTATCCTCAAATCATCCGTGAACGAAACTGTAGCAACCAGAACCACTGTACGGCAAGTACGCAGTTTTTAGAGCTGATGGTGATGATCCCTCGGTTGTAAGGGACAAACTTGGCACTGAGGGACTAAGATAGCCAGTTCAATAGGTTGCTAATCTACATGCTTAAGCAAAGCATCGAAAGGGCATGAGGCCAAAAGTCCTGTTTCAGAGCTTACGCAACGAAGCCATCAGCACAAGTTTCTTTCGCCGTACAAATTGGAAACAATGCGATCTGGAAGACTGAATGCTACAAGCACAGTAACAGGGTAACGAGACTTAGGTTTCTCGGTCAGAATGCCCGGTACAAAATGCTATCATAATTGATGCAGGCAACTTGGAAACACCAGCGACTCAGTAAGCAGTCAGAGAATTACCTGCCCCTTTCTACTTCCGCCAGCAGTCTCGGTCAATAAAGAGTAAAAGCTGGTCTGTATTGGTTATTCTCAATTACCTCTTTATTTCTTGACACACGTCGATAGAGAAAATGATACAAGGACTAATGATTACTGCCTATTTCCAGTTACGAGTAACTTGTAGTGGGTCCAGAAAAAACGTGTACACCTTGTTTGTATGGCTTCAGATCGTTCGTACAGAAATGTGCATTGTAAGAGTGGATTTTGCGAAGGATAGAGTAAACAGCGAATGGCTTATACTAAACTTCCTGAGTTGATGTGAACAGGCCACGTGAATATGAATGCAGACTTCGGCAAGGTCTAGAGAAGTGAAGATGACTGTCAATCCAGTTAAGGATAAGGGATGAGTAGAATGAGTAGACAATGCTATGAATGGGCCGGAAGCACCACGAACCTCTCGCAGCAAGTACACTTAACTAACAGTAGCCTATCGGTCACAGGAACTCACTTCGAACATTAGCACGGGTTTTGAACTGCAAATTGCTTACTGTACTTGTTAATATGCATAGAACTCCACAAAGTATGTTACACGTGGACTAGTCACAGACACCACCCTCCTAGGGGTCATTGTGGTTAGCCTTCGCCCAAAACGCTACTACTGCAGTGTGGTTCGAGAAACTAATCGAAGATTAATTGTGGCATTTTCATGTGACTTGACAAACCAATATACAAG